ATTATTTATTATTTTATTATTTTATTATCTTATTATTAGTTAGTATTATTTAGTTATTATTATTAGAGTAGAATTTAACAGATATGTAGTACGCTTAACATTTAATGATTAATGATTAGCAATTAGTGATTATGCTTAGCGATTAACGATTAACGATTACACTTAGTGATTAACGATTAGCGATTACGCTTAGCGATTACGATTAGGCTTAACGCTTAACAATTAGCAATTACACTTTACGCTTAGCACTAACAGCACCAGGATGTAGGATAGATTTTCTGATCACGTGATATCCGGCCTAAAACTCATCTCAGAAACTCTTGATTATAACTATTGTCTGATTGGTTGGTTTTTTTAGATTGATTTGCAAATCAACACGTGATTATTAACCAATCAAGTTACATAACTTTTATTCGTTATTTTACAATATTTACAATACTAAAAATGAAAACTTTTAAGAAAAAAGTTTATACGAGTCAGTAATAACACTAACTATATATACATAAAAGATAGGTAAATATATATAAAGAGGAGTAAAAGCGGTATTCAACTACCAAACAACATATCTACGATCTATAAACCCAAACTTAAAAACCAACCCAATTTAATAGTGCTTTAACCCTAAATTTCTTATTGCTAACACCGCTAATACTTATTCTGCTTCAAAAACCAAATCTGAAATTCCGATCTCTAAAAAAAAACCAGCTATTTTGTTAGTAACTATTTTTTTAATATGTGTTAAAATTCAAACAAAGCCTTTTTTTTCTTTACCTAGTTCAAAAAGTTGTGTCTAAGCTAACTTCTCTAAATAAGAGATTATAAAAGATTAAGTTTATAGCTAACTTTCTAGCTTGAAATGATATTTGTACTGATTTTTTGTTTGTGTAATTTTACGACCCTAAAAAGTACTTAAAGTGTACCTGGGCAATTGATTACATTAGCCAATCAAACGAATTTCTGTCTATGATAGTGTAACAATATATAGCATGAAGTTTAAGAATAATAATTTTAAGTTTCATTCAAATATGTGCATAAAATCACACAAAGGCTATATAATAAAGTAATACAAAATCTGGCTTTTTTTTTTTATTAATGAATATGGTAAATATACAAAGACTTGTAATTTAATTTTTGTTATGGAAAAATTTGATAAGAAAATAAGTAAATCTATATGATGAATTTATATAAACTTTTAGAATCAAGTAAAATTAAACATTCCACAACTTCAATTAGAATCGATACTGGTATATATTATATAGTAAATTTGAGTTACCATTTAAACTAAAAATAAATTAAACATTAAACTTACAGCCTAGATTAAATTGGAGCAAAAAACAAAATTATTGTAAAACTCGAGTTTTGTATATATGAATATAAATAATATCTATAAACTTAATTGCCTATGTATATTAAAATTTTGAAACTTTAATATGTTTTTCGAAATAATCAATAATTTCTTTCTAATTTGGCTGAGTAATAAGTACAAAAAGTAGAAAGACGGGCTGTGATCAAGAAAAGCAATTCTAAAATAATTTAAAAAAAATTAGCATAAATAAATTAATAAATTGAAATATTAAAAAATTATAGGCTGATTCTCAATATAATACTTCAATTATGCTAGCGCGAGCACACAATTCCTTTCTAAAGTTTAATAAAAAAACATTTAGGTTGCATTTGAAATCTGCTAAAGCAAACTAATATTGAGCTATTGGCACAGATGAGTTTGGTAAAGTGTCTATGCATAACAGATTGATTATCTTGAATCTTCACCATAAAGATAGATAATGATAAAAATTAGTTATTTATGTAACATGAATGCCAAAATTCATATTGCCTATAATAGTCTTACGTTGTATTTTGATCCCAATTGAATAAAAACGTATTATTGATAATGTGACCTGATATTTGAAGTGACGAAGGTACTAACCTAAAAAAGTAAGTAATTAAAGCTATAGCTAAAGGTGTAAAAGTAATTAATCCATAATTGAGGATATAATAAAGCTAAAGCTAGTTGGTCTAAAAAAGGCTGTGCTAATGAATATGACAAATATGAATTGTGAATTCTTAACAACGTAATTATGGTGCGATCTAAAGATGCTAATCTAGAAAAAAAAAATTTGATTAAAGCCATAATTGAGAATGAAAAATTTAAAGCCAAATCGAGAATAAATAAAACTAAAATTAGTTAATTTTCGTCAAGGCTATGCTAATGTATCTTCAAACACGTTAATAATTACATTAATAGAAATTATAAGCTTTATATTCTTAATATGCTAATATCAAAAGCAAACAAAAAAAATAAAAATAAAAATAAAACCATGAAAGCCGAAAATAAAATAAAGCTAAAATCGGCTAGGTTCTAATAAGGCTATAAATAGCTTTAATAATAAATATGCTTAGAGATGCCAATTTAAATGAAAACAAAAAAGTAATTAAAGCCATGATCGAGAATTGAAATAATATTAAATTAGCTTGGTCAGTACGAGGCTGTGTTAATACGTGTGAATATTAGTTCGATTTTATAAATAAAAACAAAAAAAAAAAAATTAAAAGATTTGTAGTAAAAGGAAGTAAATGAAAAATACTCCCATTATATTGCTCTAAGCCCCAAAACTAGATCGAATATATTATATTGATAGCTTTTTGTTTGATTGTATCTAAAAGGTATAAAAAAAATGAATGTGATATTACAAATAATTTACCTTCGGGTTAAAAATATAAAATTCTCTTTCTTTTGATTAATTCTTAAAGAAATAATAAATCTTAAATTTTTTATTCGCACTAATAATAATAAATATGACTGACCCAAAAACATGTACTTCTGCTTTCACCTACTGCCTCCAGAAGCATTTATTTACAAAAATAAATCTTACAAAACCTGCTCAGCTTGTTTAACTACAAAGTCTAATAAAAGAGCGGGAAAAAAAGCTTTACCTGTTGATAACCATTTAGAAAGCACGAATGACCAAATAGAAAACCAATTCAAAGATGAAATAGAGACAATTACCTTTACTGATATTATCGAACACATTTTTAATAAAATTTCTAGCCTTAAGCAAAACCAAAAATTATCCTTCAACTTATGTGTCAAAATCGATGATAATATATTGACTAAGATTAATCATAATATGAGACTTTTGGTAAGATTAATAGTAGATAAGATCGAAGAAGGAGACAGATACAATTGAACGTAAGTATCTTTAGATTAAACTATTGAAAATTAGATAGGAAATTAGTTATAATCAAAGCTTTATAAATAAAATCTCAAACATAATACCTTTCTATAATTAAATGCAACTTTCTTATTCTCTAATAATATTATTAAAATATTATACTGCTTATATTGTAAATTTACAACTGGGCCTAATATATCAGTATGTCATCCTGGTGTTGGTGTATTCTACCTTTCGTGTTTTCTATGCTATGAACTAGAGCGTGAGTATAAAGAATCGAATTGTAAAAGAATAGCCAGATTTGACTATCATGGCAAGTTGATTATTAATGTCAATATAGCCATAAGAGAAGTAATAATAAAGCTTAAACATGATATTCAGCATGAAAAGCTTGTAGATATTGCAACTTCAGAAGAAATAAAGCGTGAAATTATGCTAAATCTTCACATGGATCCTGTACAAATACAAACACACCTTCGTCAAAAATTTGATGCTTTACAAATTACTCCAAAGCAAATTAATTACTAGTGGTCTCTTTTTAATCAATGTTTTTTTAAATTAGATGAAGATCCAGTTGTTTCTGCGTGCCACTTTTTAAAAAATTCTTGTAACAATAGTGAGCTTTGTTATGAGTGGAGGGATGATTTAGTTACTGCAATCGGATTAATAACATCCTTACTAAATAAACTGTTACCGGTATCATGTATCCACTGTGATGCAACCTACAAAACCACTAGAGGAAGGTTTGAGCTTTACGGAATTATTAGCAATACTAATGGTGTTGGATTTCCAATAGCCTATTTATTTCTAAATAC